AGTTGGAGCCCGTCAATATAAAAAGTCTACTTTCATATTTTTAATTTTTTTGCCTAAGTATCATTTGCCAAGAGGTTTCCATATATTAGAGTAATCAACATAGTTGTCCTTTTCCATGATTATGATTTTTAAAAACTCAATCCATTGACATCTTGCTTTTTTCTAGAACTTAAAGCAGTTTATAGTGATGCATAAAATATACTAAGGTAGCATAATTTAAAGTATGTGTGGTAGAAGAAAACATAAGTGTCCATCTCCATTGTTTTGACTTAGGCAGTGATTTCTTAGATGCGGCACTGGGAGCATAAGCAACCAGGGAAAAATAAAGTAAATGGACTTCAGCAATCTTTTATGTGTCAAAGAACATTATCAGGAAATTGAAAATACAGCCCTCATAATGGAAGGAAATATATGCAATTGATAAATATGAAATGGGTCTGTTCAGCAGGATATATAAAGAACTCTTAGAACTTAACAAAAAGACACAAAGAAATTGGATCTTCCTGCAAAGAAGAGATAAAAATGACCAATAAGTATATGAAAAGATGCTCAACATCAGTAGTCACTGGAGAAATGCACATCAAAATGAGAAACTACTTTGTGCCCACTGGGATGGTGATTATACAAAAGACAACCAATGTTGTCTTTGGGAGGATATGGGAAACTTAGAAGGCTAATATATCACTAGTGGAAATATTAAATGGTACAGCCACTTTGGAGAACAGTTTAGCAGTTTCTCAAAAGCTAAATGCAGAATTTTATTATAAGATATGTAATCCAGAAGATTGAAATCCCATGTGTATGACAAAACTTGGGAACAACTCAAAGATATTGTGAATGAATGCAAAATCAAATGTGGTCTGTCCATACAGTGGGATATTATTCAGCAATAAAATAATGAAGTACTGATAAATACTACAACATGGATGAATCTTAAAAACAAGCTAAAACCTTAAAAACAAGGTCCCGGACCCTCCCTGGTGGCACAGTGGGTTAAAGCACAGCACTAAGAAGCTAAAGCTACTTCAGCATGAGTTCGATCCCTGCCCCGAGATAACCCACACGGCACAGCAGAGCTCTCCTTACCCGCCTGCTGTTCCCCTCAGCATTGTGCTTTGTCGGTCGGCCTGTTCTGCTCCCCACTCTGTCTCTGGTGAATCCTCTCACTACCCCTGCACCTCTGGCCTGTACCCCAGTTATGTAGGCATAAATAAATCTTTAAAAAAAAACAAGGTCACATATGTATGATTCCATTTATAAGAAGTACCCATAATAGGTGAATTCATAGACATGTTAGTGATTGCTGGGGGTGGGGATGGGAGTGAGAGTGATTGCTAGCAGGTAATGGGTTTCTTTTGGGATGATGAAAATGTTCTGGAATTACACAGTGGTGATGGTTGTACATTTTTGTGAATTTACTAAAAGCCACTGAATTGTACATTTAAAAAGGTTGACATGTGGCTTGTGCATTGTACCTCAAAAGAAAAGGTGGTGAGAAAATAGAAAACAAACATTTAGATAGAAAATAAATCTCTGGATAAAACTGGTACTAACTTATAATGGTCTATAATCTCGCTTTTGGTTGGCTGTGAATTTAGCGATAGCAAGTGTCATATATGAATCAACTACATCCCGTCATGCTATTAGCTTAGTGGCTTGGGATTTTATCATGGTTGCTGATCACAGCTTACTTGGCCATGTCTCTCTAGGTGCAATTTTATACTTCAGTAAAGGTTACAACATTCAATATTCATATTCATTTTCCTTCAAGGAACATAGTCTTTGTGTACTCTTTGTTTAGAAAGGAAACATCCCCAGCCTTATGAATAGGAAAGCAGTCTTTGGGTGAAAGATGAAAAGCCTCCGAGTTAAGCAGATTTACTTGGATGAAATGAAAGTTAACTGATGTAATAACACCTCTGTTCTCCAAATGTTTCTATTCTAGTGTGGTGGCTTACAGAGTGAGGAAACCATTGTTTTTAATTGACTTAAGGTTTCACCCAATAATTATACTGCCCAAGCCAAATAATATGACCCTTTTCTTTTTTTACTAACTTTTTACTAGCAGAACAGTAGACACAAGGCAAAATGATCAGAAGAGAGTTTTGCGTAGCAAACTTCTGTTCCATGGAGAAGTTGTCTTTTCCTTTCTCATCTAGCACTGGTGGGGAGACTCATATTTTCAGGGTTGGCTTTAAGAAACAGCCAGGCTTGGGGTCTATGCTTTATTCCTGCGCCATGCTACATGGTTTCGTTTGTGTTCTGAAAGCCGCCTGAGTATTTCCAAACTATTTAGCAGTTTCTATTGCAGTGGGAAAATTACACTGTAATACCCTGGGGGGATGGGGGAGGTGTTTTTATGTAATCACCACCATGCTCTGAGTCCTATATTCTCCTCTAAAAGTGTATAGTTTTGCATTTCTTATTAAGATCTTTAATCTACTGGAATGTATTTGTATGTGTATTGAAAGTAGGCATCTGTTTTGGTTTCCTACTTGGTTAGGACCACTTTATTTAACATTGGGAACATTTTCAGTTTGTAGAGAGAGAAATAATTTTTGGCATTTGTGTTGGATATTCAGTGGGGCTCAGGACATGCTGACTATGACATGTTGACTTGAATTTCAGTCTGAGGGAATGTAAGAAACCGCAGGTGCAGGAAGGGCTTCCTGACCGTTCTTTAAAACACTCATGTGACCTCCTAGATCATCTTTATTTCCAAGATGAGGGACAAGGAGAGGAATCTTGAAGAACAGGCCTTGCCGACCCTCCATCATGCCCTTCCTTTCCCATTCCCCCATGACTTGCCACTTTCCATCAAACTAGCATAAAAAAACACTCCGGTTTAACCAGATCTTTGGTTTTCCATCTCCTGTGGAGACATCTGTCATGTCGTAAAACTGATGTTAAGCAAATCTGTATGTTTTCCTCTTGTCCTATGTTAAGAGGGCCAGCTCAAAATCTAAGAGGGCCACAGAAAAGGTATTTCCCTCTACCTATTCTAACATTCCATATTCCACACTGTTTTTGACATTATAGCAAAACACAAACAGAAACTTCTGAACTGTCACTTGAAATGTTATCATGTTCTAAGGTGAAAGTATTCTTTCTCGGTGAAAGTTTTTTAAATAATGTGCTTAATCTCAGCACAGAGCAGCTCACTTTGGGGAGAGGTAGGGAAGGAAAGTTGCTCAGCCTCTTCTTTGTCTATCTCCCCGAGCACGCCAGCCCCCAAAGGGAGGTAGCGATCTTTAGTGATGACATTTTGAGATTCTGTGGAATGTTTTGGGTTGCTTTGCTGCCATGGATCCACATTTAACATGGTTTCTGCAAGGTAGACAGAATTCAGTTGCTGTTACGCTCAAAAACATTTTGCCCACTGGCAAAATGAAGCATTTTTAGGAAAACTGCAGCAAGTAACTTTGTCACATATGCATACCAGCTGTTTTGTAACAACAAATCTCTAATCCTGCTCCTTAAAACTTCTCAAAATCACACACTCGTCAGCGTTGGTGGTATAGTGGTGAGCATGGCTGCCTTCCAAAATCACACACTACATTCTTTGGAGGTCAAAATAACGTATCAATAATTTGTTTTTCAATATAGCTGCACACAATGAAGAAAATGAACTCAAGCCACACAATCCATATAGTGCTTGTGAGCATTTGAAAACAAGAAAAGTCATTCATGTGTCAGGAATCTGTTTTAACCTGAAAGGGACTTGTGGAGACTTCTTTCTTTCCCGACATCCAGGGCGTCTCTGTATTCTTCCAAAGAAGTGCACTTCATTCTCACAGGGGACCCGTGTCTCCACATCATCTTATCCTCCTGAGCTTTAGACTTGACGCTCTGCCTTGGGGCTGTAGTACACTGGCCGGGACAGAAGAGCTGAAGCCTCATTCGTGCCAGCGCCATATTGCTCATGCAGATACATGGTCTGAGAAACAATTCTTTAGTTCCCATTAGTAGATATTTAGGTGTTTCTAGGATTTTGGCTTGTTTCTGTTCTGATTCTGGCTTCGATGTCTCTCTGTGGGAAGCGTCCTACACAACTATCTTTGGTCTCCTCTGGGTGGGTGTGACCATAGTTTTCATTCCCAGTGGTGGGATTTATTTGCTCATCGGTTTTGTGCTTTTTAAACTCTTCAATTTTAATACTGGAGATTTTAAAAATACATTTCCAAATGCTACTTTTGGTGTGGAGACCTGATGCTTGTTGAGGAAACTTTGTTCTTTTCTTCTTTTTTAAAAATAGCATGGAGCTATTTTGTGTGACTGGGGGAGTGGAGGGAGAGAAAACAGAAACAGTTTTACTCGTGGTGTAGCTAAATATATGACAATGTGGAGCATAGCTTTATAACTTAACATGTGTCCCTTAGCAGTGAGACAAGACACAAGCTCGCTGACTGACAGAAGCAGGGTGAGCGTGAGTAGCTGGTAGCTGAGTCACACGGCAGCACCTGAGGCCTACCTGCCTGCCCCTTGGAGAGGTGATGTCCCTCTGGATCAACCCTGGATCATCCTGGATGCCCCCAGGCCTCATCGCCCTCTCTGAGAATCTTCTAGGGCTGGACAGTCTGGGAAGCCTGGGCCTAAACGGTCCCCTGAAATGGGCCTGTTGTGGCCGCAGGAGGAGGCAGGACTTGTTGCAGCCCCCAGCCTGGTTCTGTTCGTAGAGCAGGAGTACTCACGTGGGAGGCTTCGAAGAGTTCAGACCAAACACAGCAGCTTCCAACAACAATGCAAGGAGGAGAGAGGGGGTGAGAGAAAGTCAGGCCTGCTGCCCTGTGCCAAGGGCAGCTTTAGAGAGAATTCCTCCAGTTTTGAAAATTTCTTCTTTCCATAAAGACCCCAGTGATGGTGGTGATAGGTCTTGTTTGAGATGTTTTTTATGGTCTTGCTTGTCCTCCTTGGGTCATCACACTGACTCTTTGACACGTGAAGAAAGTAAGGCACCAAGAAATGAACCATATTATTCAAGGCCATCATTTTTTTTTCTCCAAGTCATAACCAGTTTTATTGCAAAAGGACCCTGTACACATTTCTCAATTCTAGTACCTTAATAGCTACCTAACAAGTCATTAACATACAGAAACATGCATCGTGAGAAGCAAAAAGTATCACCCATCCCATCCCTTCTGCATATTAGCAACTTGTCGCTCCTGAGCAAGTGCTCACACCACTGAGGTCTGTGGACAGTCACTTTTCACATTCATCCTGAGTGAAAGATGGAATGACGTAAGTACAAATGCAACATATTATAAACAATTTCTTACAAAAAAAACTCACAAATGAAACCAAAGTATTGTACAGAATTTACTACAACGCACCATAAAAACCGCTTAAGCTCTCTCGCCTCGTAACCGGCGAGCCAGTTGGATGTCTTTGGGCATGATGGTGACTCTCTTGGCGTGGATGGCGCAGAGGTTGGTGTCCTGGAACAGGCCCACCAGGTAAGCCTCACTCGCCTCCTGGAGCGCCCCGATGGCAGCACTCAGGTCGGTCTTGAAGTCCTGGGCGAGGTCGTGCACCAGCCTCTGGAATGGCAGCTTCCGGATCAGGAACTCGGTCGACTTCAGGTAGTGACTGATCTGCAGCGCCATGGTGCCTGGCCTGTACCGATGAGGCTTTTTCACCCCGCCGGTAGAGGGGGCGCTTTTCCGGGCGCTTTTCCGGGTGAAAGTGGAGGAGCTGGAGGTTCTCAGTCTCGCCAGAGACTCTTTGTTCTGTCATCAGGAACGTGCGATTTAATATTTTAATAGGCTTCCAGATGTAAAAAGAGGGAGCCTGTCTTCCAGAAATGACCAAAATTTTAGGGTATAGGTAGGAAAAATTGTTGGAAATTTAGAAAAAGGCAAAGTCGTGATTCTCCTATAGGTAATAACATGAACATGTGTCAAAATCAACATGTGTTGATTCATTAATCAACAAAGGAAACATGCAGATGTCACAAGCAACTCAAAAGAGAAACACAAACCAGGTGCTTTTCTAAATCAGGAAGATTGAAACTCAGGAGGCAAAATCCCACAGAAAGGGAGGGAAGGTCATTGTCCCTCAACAAGAATGGAGAGGGGTGTACAGAGAGCTGCAGAAAAACTCAAAGACAAAGAACAGGGTTGAAGCCAGAGGTGTGTTCAGAGTGTTGACGAAGAAGAGTTTTCCACAGAAATGCAGATTTGCCTCTGCACACCAAGCAGGCTGCCCTGCAGACTGGAAAGCAGAAATGCTGCCCTCTTGGCCAATGGTAAGGAGGAGAAGGGCAAGAGTCATCCCAGAATATTGATGTTTTCCAAAGTTTTGAAAAGGGCGGGTGCTTGCTCACCTTTACCTATAGGTCTTTCTTGCTGGCCTGGCTCATGTGACCCTATCCAAACTTGCCTTCAGGGGAGTGGCCTGCACTTTTATTTATTCCCTTTAAAGTTATTCAAATGTTCTGGTCCTATTTTCCATTTCCCAAGACCCTAGCTTGGGGCCACTTTACACTTTGTCCTGCAGGTAGCGAGTATTTTAATGGGGTTGGCCTCTTTCCTCCTGGTGCCCAGAGTTGCCCTTTTCCTCTGTTCTCCTCTCCTGAGCCTACCTCCTCTGGGTATGCCTGTCCTATGCACCTGTTACTCTCTCTCCCTCACCAAAGTCTGGTCAGACACTCAGAAAGAACTGAATAGGCAAATCACACTTGGTAAGTGTTTTTTATTCAAGAAGGCCCTGAGGTCGTCCCCCTCTGGCTGCACGTTGTGCCAGGTGCTGGGGACACAACAGCTCAGGCAGGGGCTTACGGCCTGCTGGCGAGACAGCGCGTAAACAGTTATTACAGTACAGTGTGCTCTGTGTTCCAGCCGAGGGCTCTCACCTCCAGCTAGGGTTACAGGCGAGGAAGGGAATAGCTCTGTCTCGGCAGGTCTGCAAGATTGGTGGAACTTTGTCAGTCAAGAAAAGGGCGACAGACCGGCACAGGGGCTGGACTCTCCTAGTGTGCCATGACAGGTCACTGGCCCCTGTGCTCTGCACCCACCCAGGTGAAGACAGCATCTCCTGAGAGAGGCCGCTTTGGGTACCAGTGGGATTCCTATAAGCAAAATGAGTTGGGCAGCAGAAGTACCAGAAAAGCACATTTTCTTTCTCCTTTTGTCCCTTACCACATGCAGTGTACCTGTTGGTGGAAACCCGAGATGGAAACTGAACACAACTACTTTTTCATTTCTTCATTAAGGCTAACAGCTTGGTTTAGAAGTTTAGATCTCTACAGCTTTATCAGGAGAAAAAAACGCCACTGGCCTTTGAGATCTGGTTATAAGGCTTAAACATGATCTTCAGGTCATTTAATTCTTCTCAGAGCCTGCTGGCCCACTCGCTGAGGATGTCCCACGGCACAGGTTTCTGCACAGTGAGGGGTCTCCAAGTCGAGCCCAGTGAGGCTGAGTCCAGGAGCCCAATACACACACATACTCCTGAGAGCCGGGAGGTTTCTGGCGTGCTGCCTTCCCTCTCTAGAGGTGAAGCTCACCTGTGAGGGACTTAATGCTAATGAAGGCAGCTGTCCCAAAAGAGAGGAGCTGGCAGTGTGCTTGGGAAAAACACAGTTAATCCCCACTGCCACCCAGCCAGACTCAGAAAGCTACTTCATCTATTAATAAGCTGTGTGACAATCCTCCTTATCAGAACTAGACCCCATTTCCAATTAATTCTCAGAGCAGCCATCTTGGTGTGGGTCAGATTTATCAGCTGGCCCTTGTGGAGCAAAGTAGGAGTTGGGTTCCTCAGATGTCAGTGTTTGATTTTAAGGCTCTGTTGTGAATAAAGCTTCCATTTAGACAGTGAGTTTATTTATTTGCACAGTTGGGGGGTGTGAAGACTGCAGTTAAGTGGCAGGCAGGTGTCTGACAGTGAAGGTGAAGAACCATGTTCCTGTTGTACAGAAAGTAGTTTGGGTTGTCTAATTTTCTTTCTTTATGATTGAAGTTTATGTGCTGTTTGTTACTGATGTGAACATGTCTTGGCCTGGACCACTACCTCTCTGTAAGATAAGGATCTATTAAAAAAAGGCAGCACAGGCCCTCCCTAGTGGCGCAGTGGGTTAAAGCACAGCACTGAGAAGCTAAAGCCACTTCCGCATGAGTTCGATTCCCGCCTGCCCCGCAGGAGACCACATGGCGTGGCAGACCTCTTCTGACCCGCCCGCTGCTCCCCTCAGCAGTGTATGTTTCAGTACATCTGCCTGTTCTGCTCCCCACTCTGTCTCTGGTGAATTCTCTCACCCTCCGCATCTCTGGCTTGTACCCCAGTTCTGTAAGAATAAAAAAAAAAAAAAAAAGGCAGCACAAAGAAGGCTCTGGATGAGTAAATGGTATGATGGGGGATGTTCATTCCTAAAGAAATCTCACTGCACTTTCTTGTTGACCAGAGTGGGCTTAATTCTCCTAAAAGCCTTTTGAAAAGACTTCTCATGAAAAGTAGATTGAACTTTGTGTGTAGACTTGTCATAGATACTTCTTCATGACTTAGGAAGAATGATTGACAATTATTCTGAAGAGTTGGGAATAAAGGCAGGTAGGGTTGGTAAAAGAATGGAGATTCTGAAAATGTTTAACAATTTCAAGGTGAGAATGTTCCAAGAGTCCCCCTGAAAACTTTGTAGGGAGTCCCTGTCTTCAGCCAGAGCAGCCAGCACAGAGCTGCTTGGACAGGACAGAGGGGACGAGAGTGGTATCTGTCTGTTTTCCTGTGGTCTGCCCTGTAGCAATACACACTTTGACATAAAGACTGAAGTCATTATATCAGCAATATTTAGAATTTTATTGTGTGCCTGAAACTATTACCAGTCTCATCCAAGTATTCCAATACATATATTTGGACTATATCATGTCACTGTTCTCATAGACTAATTTGCCCTGGCATTCTAGCCTGGGAGGTGAGGTGGAAGAACAGGATTTTGCATCAGGCTCCAGAATCGTTACTGTTCTTAACCAAGTGACCTTGGGCAAGGTCATATGAGAATAGAAATTCTACTTAGAGTTATTGAGGGCTCAACTAAGATCACTTGTATTAATCGCCCAGTTTTGTATTGAGCAGAGTAAGTAGTCAAAAATAAAAAACGTTTCACTTTGGAGAAAGCCTGGATATTGAATTTTCAGATTCAGTGAAACTATAGCTGAAATAGAGATGTCATTTAAAACAGGGAGATTACATAAAATATAAAAAACATGAATTCTCAGGGACATATGCACTCTTCTGTTCATTGCCACACCATTTACAATAGCCAAGCTGTGGAAGCCACCTACTGCCCTGTGACAGGTGAGTGGATAAAGATGTGTTATGTATGCACAATGGACTACTAATCAGCTATTAAAAAAAAAATGAACTCTTGTCATTTACAACAACCAGAATGGAACAGTAGAGGATTGTGCTAACCTTCTGATTGTGTGTCAGAAGAAAGACAAATGCCAGATGATTTCACTCATACGTGGAATGTAAAGAAACAAAGCAAAGGGAAGGCAAAAATAAGCCAAAACAAACCTTGGAACTCTAACTGCAGCTATGAGACTACCAGAGCAGGAGTGTGTGCAGGGTTTGAGGCAAAGGGGCAAGTAGTGTGGTGGTCTAGGGTGGGGGATTGTTGGGACTTTGTTGTGTTAATGTTTGTAGGGTTGTGAACCTGTTCCTCTAACACACAGAGTAGAGTATACCAAGGTCACCTCAAGGTGCGTAACAAAAAGAACGGAAGAAGAGGAGAAAGAGGAAGAAGAAGTGACAAACCAGATTTAATCTTTGGGCTGTCATTCCTGACCTAGAGAATATCTCTTGAATATGTCTATGTATATATAATGATCATAATTAAAATGTTTGTTCATCTATAGGGAATCCATGGGGGAGGGTGTGGAATCCTTTGGCTATAAGTTATCTTCTCTACTTTCTATTACATCTCAGGCTATTCTTGCCAAGTTTGCCCTGTGATGACTGGTCATTATTATGTAAAAACACCCATGTGAACAAAAGTTCAAATAGCACAAAAGGCTGTTCAGTGAAATGAGCTTGTGCTCCTCAGAAGTAGCTAATATTAACATCTTCTTTGTTTCCCTCCAGAAACTTTTCCCGTGCGTGTGCACAGGTAGCTCATACTTTATACAGATGAAGCAGCCCATACACATTCACCTGTACCTTGTGTCTCTTATTCTTTAAACTTGCTTGTCATCAGTTTCAAGTGACAAAAGCTAGATGATTTGGAAGACCTTGGACCAAAATGGGAGAACTACAGGCAAAGAATGAATTTAGTGAAGGGTCTAGGACTTGAGACCCTTTAAAACTGTAAGGGACTTAATTATATTCCTCTGGTTTCCAGTCCGATTCCCCCTGGAAGAACTTCTGGGTTAATTATGGGTCCCTGGGACACTTGGCAGACACAGCTGCTGGAGTGCTGCTCCACAGACAGAGGTAATTAATCATCCGCCTGAATCAGGAGCAAAGGCACCATTCTTTGTCCTCATTACCAATGGCTTTTAGTGCAGGAAAACTTCCTTATGAAATGGAACAACATGTGATTTTTATTTTTTAGAATGTAAGTAGAGGGTATTAAAGGTATTTCCATATTGGACTTTCTATCATAAAATAGAAGCCAAAAAGTACATGTAAGGGACACTAAATCTTTTACCTCTTTGGGGGTCATTTATTGATGCTTTGGAAGTTTTACTCAGAAGAACACTGTGTGAATACTAATGGTCCCTTTCCATATCATATAATCCTAGTAGTTATCTATTTCAGTGTTTCCCTCCCCCCCCAACCCATGGGTTATTACTCAATGGGAGGCAATTTCTTCCCCAGTGGACATTTGGTAAGATCTGAAGACATTTTTGGTTGTCTCAGTGAGGGGTGGATGCCCCTGGCATCTAGCAGGCAGAGGCCAGCGACATAGCTCAGCATTCTACAGCGCACACATTCCCAACACAATTAATAATTGGCCCCAAGGTCAAAGATCCTGAGGTTGAGGAATCCTACTGGGTTGGTCTAGTTCTGTGCTCTGTGGTTTCAATTTGGTTGTTTTTGTACATTCCTTAGAACCTCAAACAGCTCTTCCAGCTGTAAGAGTCTTCAGAAGCTCTTCAGATCAATAGACAGAGACATCAGCTCGGAGCAGTTCACTTGCTCCGAACACACATGGGTGGCAAGCGTCACCGTACTGGTGAGTCATTCACACTGGTGGGCTCTCTCATTGGCTGTAGTATCCCCTGCCCCAGGGGCTCAGGAGACGTTGGGAGAACAGATGAATGAGATACTGTGGTGCTTTGGCATCTGCTAATGGGTCAGCAACAGCAGTCTGAGCAGAAATTTTGCACCAGTGCATACTTGGCTTCATAAGCACTGTAACTTCAATGACAGTTCTATGTCGGTTGTTGGCTTCGGTTAATGGAGCTTACCATCTCTGCTCTTTCCCACTGTTCCTGTTGAGCAATTCCAGGCAGTGTGTGCAGCCACAGAGGACATTTTATAGATAATGAGCATCTAGTGGATGTCAGTCCCTGAGGCATAATAAACTCAGTGTTGAAGACTCTCAGGCAGAGGTCCACTTTTCTTGGAGTTCTGAAGTGCTTAATTTTCCCAAGGATTTGCAATCATTGGTAATCTGGAAGATTCTAACTTTGAGTTCCTGTGATCTTAACATTCAGCACATATCTGCAAGATGAAGTCCCGTTGACCAGAAGACACGCCTTAAAAGTTCAAAAGGTCATGGTCCCCACATATGAAGCCGAGAAGAACATAGTTACTTTGACATGATTTCCGTTTCCTGTTTGGCATGGGGCAAGCTTTTTTCCCTTTTGTTCTCTACTAATTTTACATTGCTGTCTTTGAAATCCCATTGGAACTTGTTTGTACCTACCCACCTTACTTAATTATTGCAGCTTTTAGAAATGGCATTGGAGCTGGAGAAGCAATTTTAACTAACACTGACCACAAAAGATGGAGGAATCCAAGTTTCTTTGTATGGAAGGACAAGGCAGATGACAATGGGTCTGGGCTTCTCCATGTGGTCTGGTTACTCCTGACCTCAGTGCTCCAGGAGAGTCAGACAGAAATCAGTGACTTCTGGGGTGAGCAGAAAATACAATCCTAGTAGCACCGGAGAGAATTTCTGCTGCATCCTTGCAATATCCATCTGTGGAAAACCTTGGTTATTTTGGTTGGGAGAGGGAGAGAGAAGTGGAGCCAGACAGAACCTCTGGGGCCTGACTCTGATGGCAGAGTGGAGCCCGATCACGCTGGCCTGTGCACTTAACTCTTAGGACTGATTTCAAGGGCAGTGCAGAACCTGTGCATTTTGTTATGTTTCTTTCCATGTTGTCCTTTCTCTTGGACTGCAGATGAAAGAGTTCATAAGTATAATATTAGTTTGACAAAGAAAGAGTATTGATGGAAGACATGATTTCTTTCAGAGAGAAACACTTCCCTTTTAAGCTCTGAGTATGAAATACGTTACTGCATGTTCCTTTCTAAAGGGAAAGTCATCGTGAGGGCCAAGGCCAGGAGACATCCTTGGCGTCCTCCCGCAGCCTGTCTGTCTCCTCTGCACCTCATCGTCGTTGTCTATGTGGCGATTTGCCTGAGAGCCAGGGGTTTTACGCACTGTGCTGAGCGAGGACAAGTGTACAGCAAGTCAGCCTGGCTCGCTTATCAGGGAGGAGTCACTATTAGGAAATACGTGTCTTTTAAAGAATGTAATTTGTTTTGTTTTACTTAATATGTTCTTACTAGGAAAAAAAGAGCAGACGCTTCCCAAACTCCCAAGCTTGTCCTTTTCTAGCAACTGATTTTACTTGGAAAGAATTGAAGGAAGAGGGGTGGCCACTAACTTGAGGTGTGTTTGTAAAAATTAGTGGTGTTTGGCTGGCTAATGGAGGAAAGGGCACAGTTCCCTGAGTAGAGCAACTACGTCGCCTGGAATTTTCATTCTTGGCTCTCTCTTTCAATTCCCTCGGCCCGCAGCCTTTCTGGGAAATCTCTGCCTTTCCCCCCTGTGTCAAATAAGAAAGTCTGTGCTGACAGGAGAGCTAGTAACTTTATTTAGAATAGTATTATATTCAATAAATAACTTCCATTGACATTTTAGAGCGGGAGGCAGTGGGTGCAGTTTTGGGTTTTGTTTTTCTGTACGTTCTTTTCCTTCCCTTCTTTTAAAAAGAATATTCACAAATCATCCAATCGTTTCTACCTTTGTGGCAATAACAAGGAAATGGAGCTGAGAGAGGAAAAAGAAATCCTAAATCGTTGGCTTTTGTAACAATCCTCTATGTGAGAAGAACGTAGTATGGACTCAATGTTTCCTTCTCAGTACTACCAACGGATTATTGTCTTCTTGAGTCTTGCCCTGAGCTTTCTCATCCTGTCAGTAAGTTTACGTAACGTCATCTACTGGCTTGTATGTAGGGCACACCAAAGCAAAGCAAACCTCACCCTCTGTGTGTGTGTGACCCCAAGATAAGTGGATGGAACATTTTCCTCTCCTCTGGGCACAGCTGTCTGAGGTTGCAGATCAGAAAAACTCACTCTGTGGTTGGACACAGCCAGCTCCGAGTTGCGAACCTTTAGGTAACATTAGTCACAAGGATATCCAAACTCCAGACGTCCCAAATCTTTTTCAAGTGTCGCTTTTAATGTAGGATGCCAGAATTGCCGGCTTTTCTCTGGGCCTTTGCTCGGCTGTCATTGGCTGGAGACCCAGCAGAGCTGCTGCAGAAAGAGCTGGACTCTGTGTCTGAAGACCTGCTTTCTGGGGTCACTATGAATAACTGTTTGATCCGCAGCAAATCAGTTAACCTCAATGAACTTTAGTTTTCGCATCTGTGAAACCAGATACAAAGCCTGAAATACCAAATGCATGTTTTCATTATCTAGATGAAGCTAATTAAAAAACCAGCTCCAACCTTGTGATTAATAAACAGGAAGAGAAGGCACTCGATCCCAAGGTAAACGGCCTTGCAGGCCACTTCAGTGAGTACTCTGGGAAAAATGTTCTAGAATGTAAAATGCTTGTGAGGGTTGCTGATGTTATTTATCAGTAGTCCTCTCAAGACATTTCTGGGAGGTGCTTTCCTTTTGAGTCTAAGTTGATGTAAATGAAGTTACTGTAAATGATAGGAGAGAACTTCTGTTTAGAGGTTGATGAGGACTGAATTTTCTGTTTCTGATTTAATGTGCTGGTGGCTGGAAGACTTTTCCGTAGACCAGCTTTCTCTTCTGTACAGTTCAAAGCTGTCTGCCTTCTAGTGCTCTCCTCCCATGGTGCTGTGAATTCTTGCCACCTGCATCCGGTCTCACATCCTCGTGTCAGGACTCTGGAGGAGTTGGTGTTCTTTAACACAAGGTGTGTCCCAGAATCATTCTTACCCTTGGCAGCAAAAGCTGAAATCTACATGACCGTGATCATGAACCCCTTAAATTTAGTCCACAAAACTCAAACTGAATGTATTCCAAACTCAGCTTGTCCTTCGTCAGATTCTTAACAACCAACCGTGTTCCACCTCAGTGCTCACTCACGGGAGTTGGGGGGGAAGTAGGCAAATGGGAAGAGAGGGTTGTCTTAAAAGATGGAGTAGACACTTGTGTGTGTGTGTGTGTCCTCTCTTTCCCAAATGGAGGGTAGCCTAAGTACCTCTTTTGAAAATTAATTCAGTTGCTTCTCTCACATTATCTCTCAGCATTCACCCCACTTTTTCTGCCATCCCCTTTTTTGACTTTTGCTTTTACCACATGTACAATTTTTATTTATTTGTTTTAAAATTATTTTATGTATTTATTTTTTAAAATGCTTTATGACTATGTTAAATATATTTTTTTAATTTTTATTCATGTATACAGAGCTGGGGTGTGGGCCAGAAGTACAGAGACTGTAGGAAAATTCACCAGAGACAGAGTGGGGAGCAGAACAGACAGATCTATGAAGAACACTGCTGAGGGGAGCAGTGGGTAAGACAGAGAGGTCTGCTGCACCATGTGGGTCACTTCCAGGGCCAGAGTTCGAACTGGCACTGAAGCTGCCATGGCCAGCTTCACAGTGCTCTGCTCCAGCCCGCTGCACCACCAAGGAGGGACTTATTTATTTTCTTGGGTTTTGTTACTGATGCCAATGATCAGCCCCCTGTACTTTTGGGGTTCCAGGAGAGGAGGCACCCTCACCTTTCCCTTGTGCTTGGCAGGGAGACCTGTGTGGCAGGAGAGCCTGGCAGGAGGCCCTGACAGGAGGGAGGGAGCTCTTAAGGAAACACTGGCTGTTGCCCTAGGGAAGGAGGGGTTCAGGTGACTTCAGGCCGCATTGCAGCCTGGTGAGGTGCCTGGTGAGGGTGTTATGTTTCAGAATGTGTGGGTTAGCTGGATCTCACTATCCAGGGGCAACTCAGCCTGCATTTTGCCTGCCATCCTTCCCGAGGTGTCTTCCTTTTCGAATGCCCTTTCCTTCTGGCCAGGAAAGTTTCAGAAAGTTTCCCATCACCTAGCTGTTGAGCAGTGCGTGTTCTGTCTGCGTCACCACATGTGAGCAAATCAAAGCCCTGCCGCCAGCCCAGGCTGATGCACAGCAGCTAGTGAAATAACTCAGCAGAACGTTCAAAACTCTTTGATAATTAGTTTCTAAGACTAGTGTTCAGGAAGCCCACAGCAGTGAGGAAGCTTAGGAAGTTTGCCATTAAAAACTGAACCAAAGTCTAACTGGAGAACTTGGGGACATAATGGCCTCTAACACAACTGTGCACATGGTTGTCACGGCCACATGTGGCCTTCCAGCCTTGCTGCAAGCACAGGATTTTTGATATTTTGGGTTAAATAAAACAGTTGTTATAATTAATCCCACCTGTTTCCATTTACTTTTTAATGTACTTACCAGGAACTCCTCAGTGACATGTGGCTCACATTGTATCTCTATGGACCAGACCGGGCTCTAATTTGTCATGTTGTGATTCCCGAGTATTGCACAGATGTTTCCCAGGCTTCCTGGAAAGTCTAGGGAGAGGTTGTTTTGGTTTTTCACAGGACTGGGCAGGGTTTTTACTTTTTTTTTTTTTTTGAAGTTGAACAGAGCTCTGAAACAATGAATCAGCAAGGCCTTCTCTTTATAATGAGTGGGAATAAGGGTAATGAAACCCCTTGGGGGACATCACAAGTCAAATAACAGAGGATGTTCTCTGCTTTCAGGAAAGTATTTCCCCCAAAGCTTCTCTGTTCTAGCCTTACCTTTGCCCATCATCACTCAGCAGTTGTCCTGGATGTCACTAGCCTCAGGCTTACGCTAATGGCATCAAGCAGTTCACAGCTATCCTTGGTAGACATTCTGGGGGGCACAGTGAGGGCCAGCATGTTGGCATATACTCAGTTCCCATAGTTCACTCTGGGTTGTTGTTGCCAGTGTACATTTGAGACAGTAACTCCTAGTGAAAAAAAAATTATTTTATTGATCAGGCTATCCCATTGGTCATCAATTGATCGCTGCTACTACAATAATATTTATATAACTTGGGTGTTAGAAGGAACCTTGTTAAAATAAGTATAAATTTTTGTCTTTGAAAGAATGTCATTGCTTAAATTAAGTCAGTTCCCATAGGCTTCTTAATCCTTTGCGGTATTTATTTATATGCAGTTAATTTTCCTGTCTCCTTATCTAATTACCACATTCTTTTTTTATACTTTGTAGATACTCTACAAATTCTGATTGATTGGTAGATTCTGAGATGACGTAAAGAAAAAGTGCAATCTTGTACTGGAGATTCAATTGCAAAGATTAGAGTTTAACTTAGCAGTGATTTTTGAGTGGATTCACTCCTCATCGTTAGAATTATGATGGTCTCACATTAGAGGTCAGAGTAATCTAACCTGTTGGCTGTTTGTTTTGGGAAATAACCCAATGAGATGATTAACAAATAATTTAACTCGCACCCATATCCCGCAGTTTACAGCCCTGACCTTGCACGTAGAGCAGTATTTACACTGTCATTTCATAAAACAAGCAATTTCATATAATTGCAAACTTTTTGTTGTGATTTGAGAATATCTGAGTTAATTAAAATAACCCAAGGAATTTTTCTCAGAAGTCACCTTGGCTACATTTTCTTGCCCTTTTCTGCTTTAGCACGGCAGTGCATTTAAGAGAGATTGCTTTTGTTTCGGGGCCAATCTGGTGCCTGCCTTTCGCATCAAGGGACTGAGTACATTTTGTTGAATGAATGACTTCTCGCATTTTCCATTAGTTTCCCTGCTTTTGCTTATCTCCCAACCATCTCCAGTTCCCTTTCCCTTTGTCCTTACTGATCAAGTTCAACCACACACAATGTTTTTTCAGAACATTCTCTCCAGTTTCCACTATTTAAGATCTTTGCTTTATCTTCCTAATCCCCATCCTCCTCCCCATTGCTGGCCAGTATTCCTCATGGAACTTGCAAGATTCCCCTGAATGCCTGCATTTGACTTTGGGTATCGGCTGATGTGGAATTCATATCCTAATTTTAAGCCTGTTAAGAAATTACAGTTTTAGTAAACTGTTTAAAAACACTGGCTGGTTCTAGTCAAGTCAGAATTCTGTCTGCTGCTTTTTCTTAGCAATTCAAATTCTTGCGCTCTTGTTTAGAAGTCTTGAACATGAACACAAATATCCCTTGATCTATGATGGCATGAGTGCATTTATGCTTCGAGGTCACAGCATGGCCCAAACACTTCTCAGCCCTTCCTTTACACAGATTCTGCACGTGTTTGGTGTATGAACTAGGCTTGATGTTAATGATAAACAACTCCAACTTTCATTTCTTACTACTTGATCATATTGTTAAGGTACTACAGAAGCTTGGAAATGTCTGGCACAACTCCTCAAATCTTTGAAAGTCCTTAGATTGATGTACATGGGGGGAATTATAAAACAGTCTCAGCACCTCAGCTTCAGAAATAGTCATGGGTTTGTCTTTGAGAATCAGAATTCGCTCATTCTTGCTGGGCCTAGACTCCCATGCAAGTCCATGCTCCACTCAGTCTTTATTCTTAAACAAGCTATGGATTCTCTTTGTAGAAATGGCCTATAACAAAATGCCCTTCCACTTTTCCAGGCATGCCAGAAAAAAAGGATGTTGGGCCCCACATGAGAAGGGAGACTGGTTTGTCCTGCTCATTTGATCTCCCCTCTCCTTGCCCCAGAATGACCAAAGGCAGGCTTTGCTGTGGTCATTTATTAAAAAGACTAAATTAGCTGTTACCAGAGTTCGGGAAGCTTGAAACTGGGCACTGGAAATCTGATGATATGTGCATCCTAAATTCTAGTTTAGTAGCTGGTTGAGAGAAAGAGAGAGCAAGACAGACAGAGACAAGAGGAAGAGAAAGAGAGTGGAGGGAAGAAGAAGGGAGCCACTGAACAATGAGAGAGGACAAACCACAGAAATGCCATTGGCAGTCTGAATCTGGGGTTAGGGCCTCTCTTAGATACAGTAGCCATGTAACTGAAAAGCAGATCATTGCTGACCCAACTAAGCCCACCAGTTAGAGGAGGCTCTATCCCATAAAGATCATTGCGTCAGGTGCCTTCTTTTCCCTGACATCCTGTGGTGTGAGTGTGTACTCTGCATATTAGTTCCACAAAGAGAAATCAGTCTTCTCCAGGGATGAAGATTCGTGAGCACATTGACTCTACAAAGGAGTCAAACTCACTCTAGTGAGAAGGCATGGAGTGTCCTGCAAGAAACGGATTCTCCAGTAGGGGGTGGTGGTGGACCATGCCCCCCCAGCCTGTATTTGGGAACCTGAGCTCTGACATGATGAGCTGTTTAGACTGAATGTGGTGTTCCCCCAGAGCCATGAAAACTGAATTCGATGAACACTGACAGCATGTCAAACACAGACCAGCTATTTTGGAGCCCATGGAGAGTAGCAAATGCTGCACCGTGCTCAGGCATTTGTGAAGGCTGTGTCACTTGTCCAAGAGCCTGGGCTGGTGGGAGCAGCTTGTAATGGGTCCTGGTACTGCCCCGATGGGCAGTGGAATCTTAGGGGAAGGTGTTTGTCTTTCTCACCTTCAACTCTGTAAAATGGGTACAATAATACCTACCGCTTTCCCACTACTAACAAAGCATAGACCTGCCAGAATATATGCACCAAGACAAGAATTCTACAAGGTGAATACAGTAATGAAAGACAAAAAAAATGTCAAGGTAGGAAAGGATAAAGCATTGAACATGTTCATCTCCAAGGGGGAGGAAGTGTATTTTTTACTGGGTACTGCTGTACCTCCCAGTAACGTACTTGCATGTCTTTCAACCGTGTCTCTTCATTAGCTTTGAGCTCACCTCCAATTTTTCATTAATTTTAAATTAATTTTCATTGTAATTCTAAATAATATACTGACTTTAAATAATACCCCCTGACTCCCTAGTACGTAAAATGAGGGCAATATCACCCTGTACCTCACTTTTCTTCTAGCTGTTTTTTCTGCCATCTTTTAAGGTTTAAAATCTTTAAATCTGCTAACTTTCACACATTCTTTTTTTGGTAAGTTGCTTCTTTAGATCTGAAAACCAATGGAAAGCTTTGTAACATTAAAATTGTGTCAATGAAAAAAAAAATATGTCAATGTCCCTAACTACAGAAGCAGGCAGTGGTTTGGATCTATAGAAAAGCAATTATTATTTTGTGCATGAAATCTATCTCGTGCTAACAAAATGGTGAAGCATCAGCAAAGAATCATCAACATCATGTTAATTTTTAGTTCATCATAGTTGGACCATGACTTTCTTATACAAACTTTAAATTTACATGATGATTTCAATTCCAGTGTTTTTGCTTTTGGTTTGCCAAACAAAATGAATGTATAAATAGCATCCTTAAGATCTGCCATCCTCTTAACCATGCTGACTTGTTGAATGAAATCCATGAGGATGCTTTATTGGAACCTCCTAACCATGTTCTAACTTGGCCTCACTCACTGGCTTCCAGATCTGTTGCAAAGGTGACAATGGAAGATGTGACATTTTATCCTTAAACCAAGTCTGTATTTTCTTGGCATCAATATCATTATATTGGAGGATTCATTTTACCTTCTGTTTGAATCATTGTTTAAGTAAGCCTTGTCAGTAAGGGTGTGTAGCGGTAAATGGAAGCTTTGTGTATCTGGAAAAGCCTTATTTTGCTTACTTGCTTGATTAGCTAAGTATACTATCCTGGTTCAAAGCTGGTTTTCCTTAAAATCCAAAGGCATTGTTCCATGACTTCTGACATCGGGAATAACTGCCAAATCTGATGGTGACTAAGTCCTTTTCCTTCCCTTGTAATCTTATTTGGTCTCTGGTAGCATTTCAGATCTTCTCTGTATCTTCAGGGTTCTGAAATTCTACCAGGATATGTCTTGTGTCTTTTTGTTTTCATTCAACTCAGTACCTGGCTTGCTGAGGGGCAGGATGTGCCCCTCTTCTGGTCTGGAGAATTTTTTTATTTCTTTCCCTCTGCTTTTGCTGTTCTCTCTTTCTGAAACTCTGATTAAATGGATGCTGGGTATCCTCCATAGCTCTTCATTTTTCTTTCATATTTTCAGTCATATTTTTATTTCACTCTACCTTCTTAAACAGCACCTTGACATTTTGTCATAGCCTGGATTTTTTTATTTTCATAACCACTTTGTAAATTTCTCAAGATTCTTTTTCTCTAGTTACTCCTTCAGTATTTTTCTATCTTTATTTCATGCTGCACTTTCAAATACCTGAAGTGATATGGATTGAATTTGTACTTATGTCCTTTTTCTATAGTTTGAATATGTTTTTCTAGAATCATGTATTTATATTTTCATCTTGGTCCTACTCTGTGCTGTTGGTTTTCCTATAATGTTTATTAATTCTTATTTCTTCATATGTGCTCATTAATAAGAAGACTAATAAAGATATCTCAATTTTAGGGGACTAATTTTCCCTTCTGTTCCCTTGCTAGTACAATTTTTCCTCTTTCTTGAGTCAGTCTGCCTACAGAAGTCTCTAAAATATAATCTTCAATACATATAGTCATGTATTGATCTAAAATCATTTTTACTTTAAGGCACATGCCTGATGAAATGGCAAAATGATCTTTTGAAACCCCAAGGAAAGTTATGGAATTTTATATGACTCCAAAAGCATTTTTTTAAAGATTTATTTATTT